AAACCGGAGTTTCCATTGCCATATCCACAAGAGGTATTGAAGCACGCTGCCCTACCGCCTTGACAGGGGGGGGGTTATATCGTAATCAGTTTATTCCTATTATTGCTGTATTATTAACCTAGAGTCTTATGTGATTATTCTCTTTCTTTTTTAGACATCACGACAACAGAAAAAGATCCGGCTCATGTCATGAAAAGCGGAAATCGGACGATCATTCGCAATCGACAAGCAAGCGTCGTCGAAGACCCTCAATATCGGAACCTCAATCAGGAATTTCCACGAATAAGCCGTCTTCGAGGTCGGATACATCATCGCGTAATCGACACCGGAGGTCTGAAGCCAGACGCGGAACGAACGAAGAAAAAGAATCTTCAGTGATCTCTAGTCACGACAGGAAGAACAACATAACCAACCAAGCATCGGATGGTCACCGACCAGGAAGTATTCCAAAGCAGTACCGACTTGCCCCCTCTTCTTCTAATGCCAGTGAGGGACGTTCGTCGTTCGGCGCCAGTGCCACACCGGGTGAAAAGACCATTGCTTCGAAGAGAAAGAAATTGAGTGCTGCAGAGATTGAGCAGCGAAGGAAAGAAATGTTAGACAATGCTCGATGGCGCCAGGAAGAACGCGCAAGGAATCTCAGCAGGTGCTCAGCCATGGAGGAAAAACTGGACCTGGCCAATACAGGACCAACGGCAGCCAGGGCTCCTGGCTTCATCCAGAAGCTAGTACAGAAAGGCAGCGAGGATGGATCGCTCGAAAAACGGATCAAAAGCAAAGTTCAGACTATTCAGAGGAGTTCCAACGTGATGGAGACAAACTTCGCAAAAAAATAACTTTTTTACTTGTTACTTATTTTGTAATCTGTATGAATAAATTTTGCTACTTTTTGATTTTTTGATCTTAATTTGTGTAGTGCTATATTTCATTTGTTTTCTTTATTCACTTTTTATTTTAAAACAATAAATTCCTATATTTCTTAGTTATTATCGGTATTCAGCCGCCGATGGCCTTTAGACGCTTGCGCCCTTTGTCAAAAGCCGTAGTCCTTCTCGGCGGTTCTGCAATATGCGGATCTCTCGGATATGTTTTCTATAACCAGGTCAGTTTCCAATTCGTAGCTGTTTTTTAGATGTTCTTGGAGCTGTCATCGAGCCTATGCTCATGCTGCCAGTTCATGATCGACTTCAACTGTCGAAAACCATCAAGTTAAAGTGTATTTGAAATTATTTAACGATCCCACGAAATTTTTCCTTTTTGCCAACTCAGTGATATTTTCAGACCTGTGAAGAAAGACTTCATCTTCTTGCGTCGAGCCGTAATATTAATATTGAGGATTGGCAAAATCTTTATAGAATAAATTTTTGGCTGCATTTCGAGAATAAAAGCTGTAGCAGCGTGTTGTCTGGGTCATAAAATACAGTCACCCTTTCATCGCTCTTTGTCCGTGCATCATGCCACTCGCTGATGGTGCAACATTTTCCCAGCTTCTTGAAGAGAACTCTACCTACAGTATCCTACCTCTCCTTGTAAGGATACAAGAGACAGTCAGAGCTGCAGGGATAATTACTTGTACATAATATTTTGATTTGTAGTGTATACATATTTCATGGGCTTTTGAACTTAGAGTAATGTTGTATAGTGTAATGAGCATAAATATGTAAAAGATGAGAAAACAGTATGTAATAAAAACTCACAAACGCGAGAGTAGCGCATAAATTCTTTAATTATAAACTGCCGAGACACTGAAATTTCAGATCAAAGTTTATCTCTTTAGAATTACAGTGAGTGTGACACGGCGTATATATACATATACATCATCAGCATTTTTCGATCAACTGCTGGACGAAGATGTTGCTACAGACTGCTATGTTTTGCGATTTGTATCCATCTTGATCCAGCGAACTTCCTTATTTCATCCTGTCTTCAATCTAGAGGTCTTCCTACTACGTTTACTCTAC